TCGGCGACAGTTGCGGAAAAAGTAGGAAGCTCCGTGACAAGGATAGACAGATCGTAATGATGCCGTGACAGAGAAGGAGATACAACAATCGGAGAAGAGACAAGGACAGAATGATGTAAAACATTCGTAGTATTAAAAAACGTTAGCGAAAATTTTTTTCCATCTTTTTAAAAGTAGGCTAGAATTACTCCAATGACCTTGAAACACGGAGATCTGCTAAAAAAACGATTTTTCATTTTCGTGGCAAATACAATAACTTCCATTGTTACATTGGTATCGCCTCGTTCCTGCCGATACTTTTCGGTTGTTGCCTCTCGAGTGCATTTAATCTTCGGATATTACCACAGAAATTTGGACAATTATTGATGAAGGTATTACAATGTTCAACGAGGTATTAAACGTGTGATTTTTTAAGAATTGCGCAAGAAAATCCATTTGCAGACAAATGTCAAAGGGTTGCGGCCTGTGTTGGATTTATTCTTCAGGTATTTTTCGAGGGAGTCCACTCCTAGACTACAGTCCTGCGCGCGTCGCTGGGGGAATCCCAGCAGTCTAGCGTTGTAATCGCGGAAAGCATCTTCGTGGATTGCATTGACACAACCTAAACTCCCAGCTGGTGCAATTGTCATTTGAAATCGCGTTGCAATTTCCTCCAATTGTCCACTTCAGCCCCCTGAAGAAACCACCGTAGGGTCTCAGGATCTCTTCTTGTTGACACAATCGGACAAGTTGTAAGTAACGCCGAGATCTCATTCTCCTATTTTCTCTACGCGAGAATCGGTCCGCTAATTGCTCTTCTTCTAATTTGACAGCTGCGATCGCCTTATCGCCCCCCCCCCTTATCAGTGACAGTTCCCACGTTATCTGATCGTAAACGTTTCCAGAAAGATATCGCGATTGATACCGCGTATCTCGTTTGTATCGAGTCAAGGAACATACGAAAAAAACAAAATGGTAACGATGCTAACTCTACCATTTCTTCGTACTAGTTATTTTTCCATTGCGAGAATCGCAGTGAAATTTTGAAGAGATGCGGAAAATAAAAGCAGAATATTTATTATATCAATCGTATCACTTTTCAGATTATTTATTTCCCATTTTGCAAGGGATAAGAAGCAAGAAAACAAATAATAGAATTGTAAATTTCGTAGATTTAATCGTACTATTTTTCGTATTATTTATCTCATTGAACGGTTCAAAACGTAATTAGGCCGAAAGGACCTCGTTGACCTTTCAGACACCCCAGTAGGGGAGATTCTGAATCAGAGGTGGTTCGTTGACTTCTTGTTTACTCTGACTGATTCTCGCGTAAACATTAACGTTATGCGTCACGGTTTTCTTTCCTTTTTTTTTTTTTTTTTTTTTTTAATCTGCATTATTTAACGATACCGCGGTATTAGCAGCCGATCGTTGCCGAGTACAATGAGCCCATTCGACACCGAGGAATTTCACCGTATCAATTTCCTTCTGTATGTGTGCGTCGCGATTGTTTCAACTGGAAACTTCGTGAGCGAGGTCGAAATTAATGGCGGCAATTTTCTTGTGTCATTTCTGCGTACAGTCGCCTCGTATAATCGCGTATTAAAAACGAGTTGTAAATTAAGGCCAGGCTTCTTCTATCGCTAACCAATTGACCAGTAGAGAAGCGTCGTCGCAACGACTGTCCGTATATCACTATTAGCGTGTGTGCGCGGACATATAATCAAAATACGATCGTCGGTAATGGCCAGTCACTCGGTATACTGCGAGTCGTCGACAACTCGACATCTCTGCAATGAGGTACGAAGAAAGAAAATGTTCGACAACATTCGAATCCGTTTGTTTCAATTATATCGGAAGCGTGATCATAATTTCCAATTAACAGTGATTAAGTTAGAATTATAATTTTTATTTACAGTGTCTTTTACACAGATTTGAATTTTGGAAAAAGCTGTGTCTCTTCGATTAATTATCAACGGTTAATTAACAACAGAATTGCAGTGGATAATATTCGTTTTCTTTTTTTGTATCAGGACCAGAAACAGGATGTCATCGTACAGGCCCTGGGGCTCCACGGAGGACGGAGCCATCGAGTTCGAGTCCTTGACAGAGGACACCCTCGAGGGAGCCCTCAACGTCATAAGAAAGAGCTTCTTCGTTCTGGAAAACGTCTGCAAGGGTGTATCATTGACGTCGGAACCTGGAGCGCCGGAAGAGCTCGAGGAACTTTGCGTAGACGCTGCCAAAGATGGCGTCAGCGTGGTGGCCATCGAGGTGGCCACTGGAGAAGTCGTGGGAGTCGCTTTCAACAAGATTCAAGTGAATGAAATTTAATAAATGATTCTTAGAACGTTTCATACACTTAGAAGTTTAACGTGCTGGTAGATTTTGTTGTTAAAGTGTAATTCCGTGAGAACATCTCACGGATACCGTTGTGGTCCAAGGGACGGTGCATCGAACTCACACCGCTGTAAACCTGGGTTCGATTCCCGCCGGATGGTGTGAGATTTTTACTCGATCAAATTGGGTTGTAATTATCCAAAAAAGTGTGTTTTTAAACGATATTTAAATTATATAATAATTAGATTATACTATTATACTATTTACGTATAAACAAAATTTACCAGTGAAGGAGGAAAGTTTCAACAAAATTGGGCTGAGGTCTTGCATTCCTCTACTTACAATTAAAAGGGATAGCTTTCTCCACTGGTAACTAATTTCTCTAAATTCCTCAACAATTAATTCCAGGTGTTGAACAGCAACGCAGAAAAGAGCGCGTTCGAGGAGTTCGGCGAAAACTGCAAGCACAAATCGTCCAAGGCCCTGGTGGAGTTCATGGTGAACGTAGACTCGAGGGTGAACCTGTTCAAACACTACAACACCAGCTGCGTCTTCGAGATCATGTTCCTGGCCACGCTACCTGACAAGCAGCAACGTCGAATAGGGGAGTTGCTGGTGACCTCGTCCATCGAGCTGGCCAAGGAGTTGAAGAGAGGAAAATCGGTGAAAACCCCTCTGAAGATCAACAACGAAAAGGTTATACAAAACTCTGACGCGATTCCCAGCCTGGTGTCCGCCATAATGACTTCGAATTTCTCTCAAAAGATAGCTGCCAAATGCGGATTCGAGGTGTTGGCGCGCGTTAATTATTCAGAGTTCTACTTTGGGGGGAAACCCTACAGCGAGAAGATAGGGGACGAACACAAGGGCTGCATACTCGTGGCCAAGAGGTTGGCTTAACCTTGGATTCATGTTAATTCTAGGAAAAATAATTTACTTAGACGACAGCAATCTACTCAACTGTTTAATATTCATTTACTGTGATCTTATCTCTTTACGTAATTTAGATACGAAATTTTATTTAATATTGTTACACGTCTCGCGAGATATTCAAATATGTTTCTGTAACGGGACGCGGTGTTCCAATTACGTAAGCTTGCGTTCGTCGTACGACAACAACGCAGAGATATTAATGAGGCTCGCGAACAAATGAGACCTTCGAGCACGATAACGCAACGTTCCGAATGCGCATCATTGTTTCTGTAATCGTCCAGATAAGCGCATTCTCGTTTGTAGTCTCTATTGTAATCGGCGCTTCCGTCAAAGCAACGTCAAATGCTATCGCGTATTTGTGGCGCTCGAGAAAGGTAAACTTCCCGCTAATAAATAGAGTGTGATGAATGCAATCGTTTTTATACTGTACTTCCTAACACCTGCAGAGGTTTGGAAAGGTTTGAAGAGGTCTGGATGGATTATTTTATTTAGAGACATTTTAAAACACAATATATTATACTTGCTATGAGTGCTATATGTTTGGAGAGGTTTGAAGGTTTGGAGACTGAACAGATTTCTTAATATAAATTGATGATTATTGTATGTAGTATTCTGGAGGTTTGGAGACTGTTCGAACAAATTGTTTCTCATTATAAATAGATTACTGAATATATCATTACTTTTATAATCATTGTCGCACAATATTTGCTATGACTGCTTCATGTTTGGAGAGTTCTGAAGGTTTGGAGACTGTTTGAACAAATTGTTTCTCATTATAACTAGATTATTAAATATATGATTACTTTTATAATCATTGTGAGACTAGATTTGCTATGACTGCTCCATGTTTGGAGAGTTCTGAAGGTTTGGAGACTGTTTGAACAAATTGTTTCTCATTATAAATAGATTACTGAATATATCATTACTTTTATAATCATTGTCGCACAATATTTGCTATGACTGCTCCATGTTTGGAGAGTTCTGAAGGTTTGGAGACTATTCAAACACTCCCTAAAAATACATTACTGTTCGTATCATTAATTTTAAATATCAATACTTGGAGAGATAAATCGAATATTTCTTTATAATCATTGTTATACTATGTTTGCTGCGACTAGTCTGTTTGGAGAGGTATCTGAGATTTGTTTACTATCGTGTGTTGGTCTGACATCGAGTGCATCGAGAGAAAACTAAGAACAGGGGAGATACTGGATGACTTCTGGAGCACGTGCGCAGATAACAGAAATGTTTAGCCGGCGCTCATTGCACGCGCTGACTCGGTTATCAAGCACAGTGGCTGCATCAACAGAGACGATAATAGAGCGTAGGTTGCGTGCTTCAACCAGTTCCAATCTAACTTCGTTCTGCCATCGCGTCATCGTGTAGATCGTTATCGCGTGCGAGTGAATCGAGTCGCGAACTTCTCAAGTAAACCAACAGGGACAAGTAACTCGAAGGCAAGGACACCTGCTCATTTCCTTAATAATTATTTCCTAAATCATTTTTGTTTTTTATTATTATACTATCGACGATGTACTTTCCTCAAACTTTTCTTTGAGATTCCTTTACTAATAAACCCAATGTTGTATTATTAACAGAAAGACGACAACAAGCATCACTTATCAGTAATCTTGAATGTTAATGTAAATGAAATTTGAATGAAATTTGAATGAAATTTGAATGAAATTTGAATGTTAATGTAAAATTCGAAGGCACGGACACATGCTCATTTTCTATGTAATTATTCTAATTGTTTCCGAAATTATATTCCTTTTTTATTGTACCATCAACTGTTCCTTGTGTGAATTTTTCCTTGAGACTCCTTTATGAAAGGATGCCTTACTGAAGCTGAGGCTGTATTATTAAGAGAAAAACAACAACAATTTTGCCTTGAGATTCCGTTATCAACGAAGGTGTGGCTGTATTATTAAAACAAAGACAGCAACAAGCCTCCCCTATGAATAATCCCGAATTAATGAAGCTGTTATTATTGAACGATACTTGTTGGGACTGTACGCGAATGTTAAAGTAAAATCGAGATAATATATTAAGACCTATATAATTTTGTTAACAAGACCAGGTATGTCTAAGAATGTGAGACCCGGCCAGCTGGTGTTTAAGATGCTGACCAAGGATAAAATAGAGGAGGCAATGAAGGTACTGGGGCAGACTATGAAGCAAGAGTGCCTGGCCGTGGGCCTGGGATTATTGGAAGATCCTGGGGCGCCCGAAGAGATGGAACTGCTCTTCAGGGAAATCGTGAAAGACGGCGCCACGATAATCGCCGTCGATAAGGAAACCGACGAGCTGGCAGCGGTCGCTTTCAACAAGATACACGCAAGTCTTTCGCGCATTCTTCACGGTTTTATTCCATTCTATTCGTCTAGCTTGCGCAGAGCCTGCCCAGACTACTTTCCCTTCCACTTTCTCCTTTTCTCCGTCAATTTATTTCCTGGCTCTGGTATGTCTCCTTTTCGTGGAATGAGTTTGAATTATTTGTATTTTGTAGGCGAGACCAAAAGAGGGAGAGAAGGATGAGATGGACAGGTTCATCGAAGAGAAATTCCAGCACCAATCGTGTCGGGAACTGGTCAACCTTATCGGTGGGGTGAGTTGGTAACAATGCGACTCTCCCCTGGTAACAGTCAATTTCAAAAGTTTTATGTTTGGCGTGGTTAGGTTGGAGACTGTTTGAACAGTTCGTTTCTCATTAAAAATAGATTATTGTTCGTTTCCTTACTTTTAGATATCATCACTACTTTAGGAGATAAATCGAATATTTTTATAATCATTGTTATACTATATTTGCTATGGCTGCTCCATGTTTGAAGAGGTTTAAAGGTTTGGAGACTGTTTGGATA